GGAACGTGCGCCAACTGCTACTACGCCCCCACCAACGCGTGCTTTGCCGGGTGGTCTGCCACCCAATGCGCCCAAGTGCCCGAGTTCAAGTGGTGCGGAGTTTAGAAGGTTTCGGCTGTTCATATTGTGTTGTGGTGTAAACATGTAATCGACAGCTGCAGTATGATATTAATGGTTGTTTTATTTTTACCATAAGAGTTACTGTAATGTCCGAGATTTAATCCGAGACTTGAGCAGTGTGCTTGGTTCCAATGTTTCCTTCTGCCATCTCCAACTATGGTTGTGACTATACTGCAACTACACTTCCGTATTCACCACAGTCTGTTCTGAGGTTTAAACCTCTGCGATGACAAGACAGTGCTGTAGTTGGAGGTCCTGTTTGCTTTCGAAATGTTACTCATGACGGGGGGAATGACTTGTGTGTTGCTAGCGCGTGTCAGGTTATTTCCTGTTCGTTGTAACCCCAATACCTAAGGTTAGCCCCCTTTCTACGTATCCCTATGAGTAACAAACACCATATAACTCGTAGTAGGTACTTACTATACACAGTGGACAGTTTTGTACTGTAACGTTACTCAAAGTAGGCGACATCCTTCTGTGTGATTGCCTTGAACAATTATTTCAATACTAACCTCGTGAACAATTTCAATACTGACTGGATTAGTTGACGATACAACTGACAAACGAGGAGCAGTTCATTCGCCTTCATGTCAGCTTGATGTATACGTTCACGAAGCACCAGTAAAGGTCGCACGAGCTCAAACGCTGGGGTACTTTGGCAGTATCTTTGAGGAGTATTATGCACAAATGCGACATATCTGCTTGGAGAGTCGTATGGCTACAGTATGGTTGTTGATACCCGAGATGGCGTGGAGCCTAACCTGTTACATACACGAACCGTTCATCTTGGTGGTACTGTAGTCCTCACGTGCCGTCACCAAGAGTCCCCAGCTCCACAATGATGTAGCCTCAGTGTGGTCCATAGATGGTAAAGCTGAACCATTGTATTCGAACAGCTACAGTAAACAACTCCAAGTACGCAATAGGCGTGGTAAAATCCCCGAGGTCTTTCGTATTCCGACCAGTGAAACCCGCCCGCGGTCGTCGATGGCAACCTGTGTGGCATTGGTGGAGGGACAATTTTGTGAGTCCCATGCAAACGTTGCCGTAATACTGACTCCGCTTTGCACATGGAGCATGGGGGACTTGAAGAACTTTTCACCACTACAACAATATTTGACAGAGAAAAGCCCTGACCTCTAGGCGGTGGAATTCTGTGCTACTGCTTTGGCGAAGTCTGGCTACTTGATAGCGACAACCAAGGGCAACTTCGTACTAGTAGACATTTGGGACTACCCCATGGTCGCACCTACTGAGTCCCTTCAATCCTCATCAAGTGCATCTACAGTTCCCCCATCCACGACTTCATGGGAAATTCAATAATGAATGAACTGGGGTGGGGTTGCGTGATGTCTAGTTCGCATGCTGTGTGATGGGGTTGTGTGTGTTCTTGGCCTATTTCTACGTGAAACCCGAGTTTACGCACATATGTTGTAACACCCCGCGAGGTTGACAAGTGGATTGTGGTTCGACCTCGATGTGATCTCCAATCACATCGAGTTTCTGAGAATTATGGTGAGCAATATGAGGATACCAGGTGGTTTCGAAAAGCAAACCCGAATAATACCCTGAGGCTTACGCAATCATTTCCCGTTAAAAGATCCAGTAGCTCTGTACCTCGCCCCTAGACCCCTTAGAGCATCTCCAACGGGAGTCCCTATATCGATGTCCCTATCCCCAAAATAGAGCCAGTGCGTTGTTTTCGGGACATCCACAAAAAATCATCCATTTTGGAAGTTGTCCACATCCCAACTTGCCCCACGCTTCGAGGTGCAATGGAGGGCATCAAGATGCTGCAACAGTCCACTCTGGACGACGACATGCTGTCGGAGATTGTCGACGCCGTGTTCGACTCTTCGAGTAGCGATTCCGAAGCATCATCAACGTACAAGAAACCCCATGGTGGCTCTCGACCGGGGCGTGCACCGAATGTCAATCGTGGTCACGCAATGGGTGGCGATCGACTATACCAAGTGAGCATTCCTGTTTGATATGATGCTGACGTTACGAATAGGACTACTTTGCTCCGAATGCAGTGTATAATGAACGATTGTTCCGTCGGCGCTTCCGAATGCAACGTGAGTTGTTCATACGAATAGTTCAAGGCATCAAAACTCACGACGAGTACTTTGAGCAACGATTCAATGCACTTAACGTGCCTGGGCTGTCGACGCTTCAGAAAATCACCGCTGCAATACGCCAGTTAGCTTATGGTACACCTGCGGACGCTTGTGACGAGTATATTCGAATCAGCGAAAGCACAGCTCAAAAATGCCTGGACAAGTTTGCCCAGGTACAATTATAACCCACATTTGAGTATACACATGTAATAAATAGTTCCTTAAGATTGAACAATAGAGAGGTTTTGCAACTCATCTTTATCATTACCCTCAGCCACTACTGACAAAACCTCTTGCGACACCGCGTTAGCCCACCAGAGCCACCACGACACTGCGACCCAACCGAGCGCACAACATAATGTTAGCTGTAAGGGGAGAACCACTAAGGGGAGAACCACATTGGACATAGTCGGAGTGCACTCATCAGTGCACAATTCTCTGGAGCAGCATCACTGTAACGTCTTCTGTCAGTGTTATAGCCAATCGTGTGTAAGAAACAAGGTGTGATGGATTCTGATTGGATATTAAAAAGGAGCAAGGTGGCTCACCTTGCGAATTCCATTAACAAGTCATTTTTTCGGATTGTTTGATTTATTTCCGAACAGAGGTAGTAGTACCGGTAGTTTTGTTCAAGACAATTAATTACACATGGTTACTACAGTACTGTAGTAATAGTATCATGTTAACTTTGAACATCCTTCAATGATAACGTTAATCAGAAATGACCCACACGACGTAACATATGGCAGTACCGGCCCATTCCATACATATTGGTAGTACTACCGGTACTGTTTTGTACTTGTAATAGTACAGTACTGGTATTGTACTTCAGTACTATTAAAAGTACTACGTAGTATTAATACTACTAGTACATAGTAGCATCATGTGGGCAGAAACGATAAACGCAGCTAACTGTAAATACCAATACTAGTACTACGTAGTAACTGCGGCGTGGACTTAGTTGCGAGCCGCATGCAATTCCACAAAGCTCTGGTAGGTAGTAATATGTCTCAACAGGCGAACTGTATCAGACGTACTCTGTGAATGGAGGACATGCAGTGACATGGCCAAAATGCCACAACGTGTCAATCATCTACTACTACGTAGTATAAAATACTCGGAGCAGTTGTCCTGACATCATCCAACGTACGACTTTTAATAATAGTACTAACAGTAGTCCCAGTATTCAACAAATCCATGTGGAATACACCCGCGGTACTTTTGTACAAAAAAAACTTATTTTGTAGAGTACTATTGTGTCGAGTTCTTTCCCAATTCACTGAACCTCCGATAACGTTACTACAATTTCTACACTGTACTACGCAGTAGTATATCAACACAGTACTAAAATAAAGTACTATTAATAACTCGAAGTACTACGTAGTACTAGTACTAGAAATACGTAGGAGTATTAGTTACCTTTCTGTTTTTTGGTAGAGATTACAACTACAAGGGTTCTGGATATTTCTGAAATTCAGCCTTCGCCCGGCAACATCGGCAAAAGCAATACTACCGTAGTATAAATCTTGCGGGTACACCTCCAAACTCGCAGTCACTCTTCTAGTCTCACTCTTTAATTTTCATCGACACCCTCATGCAGCCCACCACCTCGTTTCTCTTGTCGGCCTTGGCCATCTCATCCGTCGTCGACTTCACCGACGCCCACGGTCGCCTGGTGTCGCCTCCGCACCGCGGGTACATTGGCAAACTGCCCCAATACAAGGGCCTGGTTCCCATCAACTACAGCGACAACGGCCTGAGCGCCGGCGGCATTGGCCAGACCAGCGGCGGCAAGAACGGCATCTGCGGCGACCCGTACACGGGCGTCCGAGAGCACGAGACCGGCGGCGTGTATGGTCGGTTCCCCCAACACCGCGAGAAGGTCGTGGGGGCGTGCTACGCGCCGGGGTCGACCATCGACGTCCAAGTCCAATTGACGGCCAACCACAAGGGGTACTTTG